GATTCTGCCGCTCACTCACACCATGGTTGCTTTTCTTCATTTTTCTAGGACCAGCTCCTTGCCATTACACCCACTGATGTCGCCCTGTTCATGAACTTCCTTGCCTATTGGAAGACCAACCCTGGTCCCAATGATCGTCCCACCCAAAAGAGACCTTCCACTCTTGAACAGTAAAAGAAGGCCATCAGCCACATCCATCCGAACAGGCTGCACGCCTTGGGCTGTTGGTCCCAATGTTGGGAATACCACTCGATCCAGGGTTGTAAATGAAGTGATCAAAGCCGTGAAGAAGGCGGAGGTCAGGAAGCAGGAAAGGAAATCCAATGTCAAGCGAGATCTCAAGCTTCGAGAATTCCGCAAGACCATTCGGATCCTGGAGCGTGATGGAGGTGCTAACATTGACCTCACGATCAAGAATCCAACCATGATGAAGGTTCAGTTCCACATGATTGGTCGAACTGATGATCTCACGAACATGGAGACATTGGACTTCCGAAGCGACGCCAAGTTTCCAAACATCGCTCGCCAAACCAAGGTATCCTGGAGCAAGACCGTCCAGGAGGAGCGCGATTTTCCTGACCAAATTTTGCTAGGTGCCGCTGACCCTGAGTTTTGCGTCCTGATTGCCTTGTCTATTTGGATCGAGACTCGGCTTGAAAGGGGACACGGTGATCCCAAGTTTCTGTTTGGCCATTACCATGTCGACGATGAAGAAGCGTTCCTTGCCGCCATTGAGGCTCTGGACAACGACGAAGAGCTCGACGAGACCAACATTGAGACGGAGCCAGATCGAGTCAACGCCTGGTACCAACGCGTCTTGAAGAAGGCTTGGAAAGACCCTGAGTTTGTGGAGCTGGCCAAGCAAGTGCAGTGTAGCCTTGGTACCCACAGTCTTCGGAAGCTGCCTCAAACCTATGCAGCCGAGTGTTGCATCACCCAAGCCGAGAATGAGGGTCGTGGTCGCTGGAAGGGCGAGAAGAATGGCCATATTGTCCATGTATACATTGGACTGGAACAATTGCCGACCGACGCCAAGGTTGCGGGAACTCTTGCCGTTGGAGGCCCCGTCAAGTACTCGATCCAGATTGACAGCGGTGTTGATCATGGTTTCATTGGCGAGCATGTCTGTCCTTCCCTTTGTGACTTCTTTGCCGACGACCCATCCAACAACCTACCGATGGTGCTTGGTCCAGCTTTGCTTTGGGATGCGATGGAACCTGGCTTGGGGCATATGATGCCGGCAGACATTAGCAACCGCATCCAGACCGAGTATGCCCAGCTTCGGAACACTTTGGATGAGGATCCTGGGGCCGACTACAACCCAGTCGACAAGATCCCTCTGACAATCTACAATGTAGCCAATGCATTGCACCTTACTGAGTTGGCTCCCACCGCCCAGGTCCAAGCTGGTGCTGAGCCCTTGGTTGGAGGTGCTCCTGGTGGTGTCAACATGGAACAGCTCAACCAATTGCTTGCTCTTCAACACAGGACTCAGCAGGCAATCGAGGAGGCCCAGCAGATTCTTGCACAGGACATCAGCTCCTTGAGGGGCTATGTTTCGACCAACATGGCCATCGTGAACAAGAACATTGGGAGGATCAACCACTTCCAGTTGATCGCGAGGGGTGGTGGTGCTCCAAGGCTTCCGCTTCCTGGTGCGCCCGGTGGAGCTGGCGTTGGTGGTGGTGGCTGCCGGGAGCTGGCGTCGTGTTGTGCGGCGGGAGCTGGCGAGCTGCGTGGTGCGTGCGTGCTTGTGCCGGGCGGAGGACTTCCCCTTCACCTACCAACCTGCCGAGTCTGGGCGTTTGGGCCGCGTCCATCCACTCTCCCGCAAGGGCCGCCTACACCCGCTATTCCGCTGCCAGCCAGCTTTCGAAGAAGCTTTCAACCTCTACGATCTGTGGGACGATTGGATCAAGGGCCTGAATGGCAACAAGGCCGCATGCGAGTTTACTGCTCGTGAGCGCGGCCGCGTCAAGGAAAAGTTCTGCCGCCGCAAGCAGGTGTGGGACTGTGTATTCGGTTGTGGCAAGGGCTTCGATTGGAGGGCTGCGTCGACCGCATCTATGCCACCTACGGGTGGCTTACGGTCACCCAGATCATCAACAAGTTCAAGCACGACAAGAAGAATCAGCCCACCGGCATCCACCCACGCTTGCGTTGAGCGAACTGCCTTGGTGGTGGCACCCAGCCTACAGCGCAATCCTGCTGTAGGCATAGCAAAAACAAATTTTATATGTTTCATTTTAGTTTTAAGAATTTTTTGTGGTTACTGGTTTTCTTGTTGTGTTTTGTTATCTTGTTTATGATCTGAGCGAGTTTGTCTTTGCCGTTCGTGGACTTGGCATTTTTCGTTCGTTCCCAGGACTTTGCGAGTTTCGAGCGACTTGCGATCTTTTGCTTGGATTGACTTCTTCTTCTTCTTGGAGCCAAATCGAAATTCCGTTGACTTAAAGATTCCGTTCGAGCTTGTATGCAGGATTCCGTCCTTCGTTTATACCAGTATCGATGTTCCAGTGAGCGAGCAGGTTGGAAGGTCGAGAAAGGTAGAAACACCCACAAACATAAGGAAAGACAGGGTAACACGTAGAGCCTGGTACTCCATGTACACGGTTGTATTCCCAGTTTCATGGGGAGCAGATACCTTTACCGTACTGGTACTGTAGCATCTGCACTTGGCTGCTGGTACCAGTACCAGCGCCGAAATGATTCGAAAGCTGCCGCAGCACAGTGGTCAGTGGTCAAAGACAAAAGGAATGAGAGGGGAGGCTCTCTTTAAATCTTAAATTGCTGTACTGTACAGGGCACTGGGCACAGGGCACTTGGTCGACAACAACATACGGTACATCTATAGCGAATTAAGGGCACACAAGACGGACTTAACCACTTGTTTGAGGCAGCCGAACCTTTTAATCCTTTTGGATTCTTCACCTGATATTCGACTGTGACTCGACTCGACTGATTGAGTCGAGTAACAGTTGAAGAAAGCGCAGCTTCTTGTCACAGACTGTTATGATCACCGTAATGTACCGTACTGTAACGGTACCGCGGCAGATCAATGACTGCTTGAAGGAACAGATCGGTTTCTTCCACATTGTCTCCGCTTCCATTCGACGGATCGAAGGAGCGACCATGACGCGTCCTCTTCCACGAAGCGACGCTTGCAACAAGCGGCTACTACTCTATGCGGCAGAGATCGATCTACGGGGGCGACGAATGATTCGTCCGTCTTGCTGCGGTTGTTGTCGTCGACACTGTTGCCATGGTTTCCACCGCACCTCAATTACACGACAAACCCCCAATGAGGATTGAAGATCCCTCGAAAACTCTCTTCCTTTGCCAGCAGTCAACAACAACAGCACCAACCAACACGACAACATACTCACGGAAGGTGTTGTTGACAGTGCGGAAGCCCTATGTGACAGTTTTGGGGGATGATTGGATCCTTGACGTGGTTTATTAAATCCACAATTTTGGCGGCGATCATTGCAGTTTACCTGTGGCACCTGGTTGCTGATCCATCCACGTCTCGTAACACATACCAGTAAAGTCGCGGGGTGGCAATGGAGCTCGAGTCTTGACGTCTGGGCAAGAAGGCATCAACAATGCAATACGGCATCTACACAACCAAAGTTGATAGGGGCATTGTCGGCAGCTTTATCAGCCTTTGAGATAGCAGTTCAAAACTTGAGGAGCAGTTTGTACTGGTTGGTCCATTGTGCTGGTCGAGCCGTTCGTAGGAGAATGCGTGAAGAGATGTGCTGATTTCCACCAAAAGTTGGTCCGAGCCACATGAGCAGCTTGGCTTGAAACAATGCGTCGATGGTTTTCCCGGAGAGACTCGGAAACACGAATTTACGGCAAACAATATTTGACCCACTTCTACGCAGCTTTCACTTAGAGTGGAGATTTAGAGGGGGGCAAGCTATCAGCGGAAGCCAGCGAGTGGCCGGGCTTAGCAGAGGCGGAATTCGGGACTACTACATGTTTACCAGGTTCATCACTTGATTCGCTGCACTGGGCTTGGGGGGCAACAACCAGTGGTAGAAAACTTCACGTCGGTGGATGAGATAGTTCTGGCATCATTCAATAGGAGGGGTAGGGGTGGGGCAAACACTTCAAAATCAGATGGCTAAACTGGGATGGCTATCGGTAGAGAATCTACTAAAACAGGATGTTGTGAGCATCTACTACGACAAGATGTTGAGAGCATCTAGTCCAATCTGATTTGTTGGATTCTTCGTGAAAAAACAATGCACAACAGTTGATGGTGAAGAAGAGTTCCAAGAAGATAGAATATGCAAAAGGGTGTAACCTCTTCTCACAGCCCATAACAAGACCAATAGCTAGCTAGCTAGCTAGCTAGCTAGCTAGCTAGTTGTGCTTGTGCACTTGTTGAAGCCCAGCACAAACACAGCTCAAGGCCAAGGCTGTGCAAAACTGGATCAGGAATGACGTGCTGTCCAACAAGCCATGTATACCAATGCAATCAACAGCTGCACTGACAACGGCAAATTGCAAAGATGGTCAAGGGATGGCAAACTGTCTGTTGGAAGGTTTCATTAACCCAGCAAGAATCGTCTTGTTCCCTGAGCAAATTTTTGCTGAAATTGAATACTTTCAAGGTGGAGGTACCATTGGTCTCGAGAAAGTTGATTAACTCATCTGGAAGTGTGCCAGTGAGTCTGTTCTCCTGTGCCAGAAAGTGAGTGAGGTGGGGCAGGGCTGCAATCTCAGATGGAACTTGGCCTGAAAGAAGGTTGTTCTGTAGCTCTATAGACTTCACAGATGACAACCAAGCAAGTTCATTTGGTATGGAAGAGTCCAATTGATTGCCATTGAAACGAAGCCGCTGAAGCTTTGAATTCAGCATTCCAACTTCAGAAGGAATCTATGACAAGAAACACAGGTTGGTATCAACACAAAGTCATTAAGCAAGAAGCTTGCAAGATTGATTGGAACTTACTGGTCCTTGAAAAAGATTCGTATTCAAATAGACTTCAGAGGTCAAATTGAGAAGACCGAGTTCGGTCGGCAGTGTACCTGTGAAAGAGCACAAGTTTGGCGAGTTGGAAAACATGGAATTGGTTCAAGAGAAAGGATTGTGATCCATCCAAAAGCAATCTACCTGCCAAGAGGCTATGCCAAAACACAGCCCAGTCAAGGTCTCGAAGCAAGCCAATGTCGGATGCCAAAGTCCCAGTCAGGCTGCTGCTACCCAAGTAAATCATCTGAAGATTGGTGAGTTGGAACAGTTCTATTGGAATGGTGCCTGAGAAATCATTTGCTTCCAACAACAATGTGTTCACTTTGGAAAGCATGCCAATCTCAGTAGGGAGCGTCCCAGACAGCTGAGTTTTCTCACTGAGAAAGAAGGCAAGAGTGTCACTCAACATCCCAATCTCAGTGCGGAGAGTCCCCGAGATATCTGTGAAGCTGAAGATTGCTGCTTCCAAATCCTGCAACTGGCCAATCTGTGATGATATGGGCCCATCAAGCACATTGAAGAAGAGACTCATTGTCTCCAAATTTGTCAGCCAGTAGATTTCTTCTGGCAGCTGGCCTGCCAAGCCGTTCATGTGAAACCATAGCTGTTTGTAGGAACCTTGAGTTGGGTCCTCCATCGAGTTCATTGCATCCATAGTGCCATTTGCACTTGTATCAATGATTTGTAGATGGCATGGATTCTGATACTCCCCTCTGAAATAGTTGTCACCTGACCCAGGGATCGGAAAGGGAATGGATCCACTTGCATACCAGAAACACTCGTGGTGGCTATAACTCAGCCAGTTATCAGAGTTTGTCCAGTTGAAGCCATCAGTAGAGTGAAACAGTGCCACCAGGGCAAACCGCTGCTTCACCCTCCATTCCAGATCAACATACTCCATTAAATCTGGATCATCCAACAGCCAATCCAATGCTTTGGATTGTGGAGACTCTTGGACCTCCAATGCCTGGATAGTGTAGTTTGGGAAGTAGCTCAGGAGCTGTTCAAAGACAGCAGATGCACTGGGGGCCATGCTAGAGTCCATAGGGGCATCTTCTTTGTTTGGTTGAACATGTTCCATGGACAGGGAATCTTCATTTCCATCACCTGTTTTCCCCAACAGGACCACAAGTAACACAACGAGAACAACCAGACAGATGACGTAGCCAAGAAACAATGCAATCCGCTTATTTGAATCTTTGGTATGTGCGGTCCTTTTCTGTGACTCTCTATTCTCATTATATTCTTCTGCTTGTGACAGGCTTCTTGGATCTTCTGGATCGTCCTGCACCTCTCTTGCAACTGCCAAACCTGAGTTGTCCTGCTCCGGTGGCGGTGGGTCAATGTCCTGCCTGGTTTCTTCCGTAATTATCTCGGCATCATTGTGGTCAGACTGTGTTGGTGCAACGGCGTAGGCTCCTGGTGCCGCAAGGTCTTGTGTTTCTTGAATGGTTCGCTGAGGGGGGGCTCCTTGGTTGTTCTCTCTGGCCTCACTTTGTGATGCTTGGCTGCTTGGGTTAAGATTGGCATGGCACTCTGGTTGCATGTCATTATCAGTTCCATGATATCCTTGTTGCAGTGTTTGATCAATCTTTAGCATGTCAGCCACGTGCATGTCACTACAAGTTCCATGAGAGCCTTGCTGTGCAGAATGCATTTCCTTTTGCTGCTGGTCTTTTCCATCTTGTGTCATCGTGTTTGTCGTGTCGTCAGCATTCGTAATGGATGTGGTCTTTTGATTATTCATCAAGAAGGATGAAATCTCTTCCTCGGTTCTGTGAGCTTCAATTCTCGCAGCCACAACATCCAGCAAGTTGATTTCTGTCTCGTCCGAGGGAGTCACTTCTTCTGGATTGGATTGGGCATTGCCTTCCTCCGACACCAGATTGGATGTGGCCAACTTCCTCTGATTATTCACTATCAAGGACGAAATCTCTTCCTCAGTTCTGTGAGCTTCAATCCTGGCAGCCACAACGTCCAGCAAGTTGATTTCTTCATCGTCCGAGGGAGCCACTTCTTCTGGATTGGATTGGGCACCGCCATCTTCCGTCACCAGATCGGACTCAGACAACTTCTTCATGGTCGCCACAAACTTTATTTGATCTATTCACCAGCGATCAGTAGGTTCTTGAACCAGATAGATGAACTAGACTGTGTATGTGAAATGAACTCTCTGGCAAAAGTGGGAGGAGAGGACGGTGGAGTCTCTAGCTAGCTAGTGACAGTCAATTGGGTTGCAACGTTGCAACGCAATCAAAACCGTGGAAAGCTACAATGGAAATTGAATTGTTCGGGTTCCCGCCTGGCTTTCCGTAGAAGCATTCTGGCCCTTACCCATACCGGTACCAGTACCGGTAGAGCTGCATGTGCGGTATTAAAATACAAACCAAAATGGTTAAAATCAGGACGAAGGTTTCTGTATTTCGTTTACCTGTACCATGCAATAATTAAAAGGTCAAAGGTGAAAAGGAAAAATGTGGAACTTCTTCTTAAATCCGAAACTGCTGAACAGTATAGTGAATTAAATGGGCACACTAGACGGATTCAAGTAAGGGTACTTACGAACCGCTAATCCTTTTGATTTTGCCGGCACTTTGTCGATTGAAGATTCTGAAAATATCCATGATTCGACGCCATTCATTCTGCGGCTCTGAGAGCATAAATTAGGGGCAGGGGCAAGTGTGCCTCTAGTACCGGTACCAGGTACCGGTGGAGGAATGTACGACCATATCCCGCATCGAAGATCGCAACTCTGCACCCTCCTCATTCCTCTTCCAAGACGAGAAATGAGCCCAAACCACTTCCGAAGGACTTCTAGCTAGTAGCTAGCTAGTAGCTTCGGCCATAGTGCAGACAGGGGAAGACAAAAGCCCTGTAGGTGTCCCGGAATGTCATTGCATGCAAAACTAGCCTACCAAGCTCTATGAGTCTGGCGGCAAAGCAAGCCAGCATTACATTTTTACTGGCTGATGAGGACTGGAGTGGAGTTGGGAAGTTATCTAAGGAACCCAGCGAGGGGCCAGGCTTAGCTATCAATAGGCAAAGAAAGAGGCGGAAATCGGGACCACTGGGCTAGTCGTACCAGCCGTTCTTCCTCAGCTCTATCATGTATGCTCTTCTGATTGCTTTCCAGTCAGAATCTTCAGAGATCCCAAGCACGGCATAAGGACTTTCGTTGACAAGGCCAATCGACTTGCTGGAGGCCCCCCAGGCACATGTGAACAGTGCGGCCAATACCATCAACAGCAAGACGGGCTGTCCAGGCCGCGGCACACCGTTCCTTCCCGTCGTCTCTCGGCCTCGATACAAGACGACAATACGCCCAGCCAGCAAAAGCCATGCTGCAAACGCAGGGTGGCAGTGGTAAGTCCAAGCTCCCGGACACCCTTCAAAGCATTCATCTTTTCGTTACTTACAGATTATGGTACAACTGGCAATCATGTTGTGCGTAGTTTTGAAGCTGCCAGTTTGGACGAGGCGATCCCATTCTGCGGATTCGGAGTCCTCGAAGAAACATTTGTCTGGATGCTTGATCTCGTATCGGAGTACATCGTAAGCCCTCGAAATTCTGAGGGAGTCGAGTTGGTCCCGTAATCCGCCGAAGAACAACCAAGCTGCCTTGACGACCATTGCGATTGAGAGGGACAGACGAAGCGACGTGAGCGATATGACCTCCTCCCAGATTACCGATCTCGCCAATCTCGCCCACAGGACCGCCAGTCTCGTACGAAGAGTTACGTCGTGTTCGTCCCCTCGGTTGTTGCGGTCTGTGGAAGCTGACATTAATATATCAAAAAGTTGAGCCCCGAACTCGGTCCATTCTGCATGTACAGTACACAAAGAAAAGGTGTGAGGACCATGAAGGAAACAAGTGTTAAAGGAAGGAACAAGCTTACCCTGTATCAGGATTGTGCCGCTTAGCGCGAAAAGGAGAGTCATCTGGAAAATCGTAGTGGGGGTGACTTCCATCCATACGGTTATGGGGTACATCATGTCACTACAGAGACTTGGAAACACATATACAGCGAGCACCACAGCCGAAAAGATGAGGTTTGCAACAAGCTCGTGTTTGCTTCTTTGTCGTCTTATTGTGTTGGGTGTCTTGCAGGATCTCCTGATGCTTTGTCTCTGCGCTTTTGCGGGGCCATTTTCCCCTGTTGCCACAATCCATCTCATGGCGCTGCGGAAAAGCTCGAAGTCTATTTCAAGAAAAGAGGAAACAACCATAAATTGAGCATTAATAAAATTGACCAAGCACAGGGAAGCAGGTCGTACGACGACGGAAACGCACTTGATACCAGCATCAATACACCGTGCAACAGCAGAACACAGAAACTAAGAAGTGAAATGTTGACCCACATCGCCCAATAGCTACCAGCTGGCTGGCCTTTGAGGATTGTGGGGCACTTGAACCGGCCACGGCGACCACCAACGTTCCGACTGCTTCGTGGCAGCACCAAAGATCCACGACTGGACACTGGACACCCCACAGGTATCTGTAGAGTATTATTCGCGAGGACGGCCAAGGCAATCTAATCGGTAGTATGAGATTATGAAAGGGCAGGCGACTCTCCCCACCAAGACACAGCACCAACCCAGCGTCTGCGACGTCTCTTTTTGCTGCTCTCGCCAACGTCATACGGTACGGAATGGGGTCCAGGTTTCTTCAAGCAAAAGTATAGGATTAACTTAGGAATTACAAAGTCCCCGGAGGGATTAAGTTCTATAATTAGATTTGAAAACGGTCTGTGATGGCAAAAGTATACCCCGGTCAGGGGTGGCCACAAGGCACAACATCATCAATGGAGAAAGGAACGGCCTGGTATAAGGCATTTCTAGTAGGCTTATTCTAGGGAACTGTGAAAATGGAACTCCGTAACTGTTCTTGGGCCCATAGCTACGATGTTCTCAGCACGCATCGTCCGTGTCATCTCATTTGGCGGTCCCCTCCCAAAGCGGCCACGAAGTAGCAACAGCTGGAACGGTTTCATCCCGTTGGGTGCACCGAGCACCAAGAACAGCAAGCTGGTCCAAACTAAGCAGTACTAGTAAACCATGTTAGCAGCTATTTCCAGAGCAAACTCCAGTAGCGCAAACTTCACTGTAGAGGCAGTAGTCACCTGCTGGGAGCTCTGAACAATAATCCAGGAAGTTGACGTTCACAGTGGAGCCACTCGCGCAACAGAATCGCCCCTGGAGATTACCAGCACTCACCCAGACCCAGCCACAAGCATTATTGCCGCAATCGTCGTGTGAGCTGCAGTCCTCGCCGACCGCCTTCCCGGTGCTACACTCACTGTCAACACATAGCCCACTGCCGCAAACTTCATCCTGGATGCAATAGTCACCGACTGGAAGCTCCGAGCAGTAGTCCAGGAACTTGATCGTCATGGTTGTGCCGCTACCGCAGCAGCCAGTCTGGAGGTCACCCAAATTCGCCCAGATGTATCCACAGGAACCACTTTCACATGATTGATCTGTGCTACAAGAGCTGCCCGCTGGAATCCTGGTTGGCAGTGGTGTAGGCCTGCTCGTGGGTTGAGGTGTGGGCTGCCTTGTTGGCGAAGCTGTGGTGGGCCGTGGCGTGGGGCTCTTAGTAGGAGAAGTTGTAGGTGCGTCGGTTGGCTCTGCTGTTTTTGTTGTGCTTGTTGTCAATTCTTCCTGATCTTCAACCACTCTGACCATACAGTACCATCGCCATCAACATAAAAGGTCGCGACAGTTGTTTCCAAGCTGATTTCGTCTCCCGCCAGCGCCCACAAGACACCATTTCCTCCATTGATGGTGACCCAACCTTTTGCGCCATATTCGCAGCAGATACCGGTACCATCTCCATCCGGCCCATAGTCCACAATTACGAAGCGGTAGTAAGTGTCCGAGGTCAGCCCAATTTGAATGTGCGAAACCAGCTCACTCCTGGTCTCGTCGTTTCCATCTCGTTCACCAACAAACTCGTCCAACACCACCCAATTTTCCTGGGTCAAGTTGTTCCCAACAAAGGTTCCGGTCATTGCTACCGAAGACTGGCCAGTCCCGTTGAAAAAGGGCGAGGTTTCTGTACCACCGACAGTGCCGTTGTATTCTTCAAACTCCCAATGGATTTCTTCTGGGTAAGTCGTCATATTGAATGTTCACAATGAGCTGTCCTGGAGTACCCGCCGCTAGCATTTGTCCAGGCCAGTTTGCGTCATCTCTGGCCGCGTCAAATGTCAGTGCTATCGAAGGCGGCGCAGTTGGTCTGAGACTTGGGCGAGGGGTTGGTTGGGGGGTCGGACGAAGAGTAGGCCTCGGAGACGGGCGAGGGCTCGGCCGAGGGGTGGCATCACCTCCACCACAGCATCCACATTGTGAACAGTAGATCGCGTAGTCGATGGCAACATCACCCGCAGATGATTCAACTTTGGATAGCAAAAGAAGCACTAACAGCAGAAAGCGCACGTTGTTGTTGCTGCGAGAAGTCATCGATACAAGTAACCTTGATCAAAATGAACTTTGTGCGAAGGAAACTTGAAGAGGGTTGCCGAAATCGAAGAACAGACAGCCGAAGGCTGATGCCCTCAACTGTCAAAAAAGAGATTTGATTCTTTGGCCAAATCCAACACTGTGTTTAACTGAACACACAGCCTACTGTAGTCTATCGATAGCCAACCAAAACACACACATTGGTACTCGGAGTATGTTTTACCAGCTAACAATTAATATTTACCTCATCCTTTATGACGGACGTACAGACTAACTTGCACACGATTCTGTACTTCGAGTATGATTTCTCCACATGAAACATTATGTATTTCTCCCATCTTTGGGGGACCATAATCAACCTTCACCCCACTCCACCCTAGATCTTGTTCGCAGATCATCAAAAAAAAATTAAAATTACCCATCCTTTATGCCGGACGTACAGAGAACAGACAGCCGAAGGCTGATATGCTCAACTCAAAAAAAAGAATAAAAAAAAAAAAGAAAAATAAATATAAAATATAAATAAAGAAACAAAAAAATAAAAACAAAAAAACAAAGAGTAAATAAAAAACAAAAAAAAAAACAAAAACACAAAAACAGTCTATGGTAGCAACCAACAGCATCATTTGGTACGATATGTAATACAGCTAACATATAAAAAAAAATAAACAACAATACTATATAAAAAGAGAAAAAGAAACAAAAAAATGACACTAACTCTGGGTATCCGAGTAATAAATAGAAATAAAAACAAAAGAAAAATAATATATATAAAACAAAATACACGAAAAAGAAAAAAAAACAACAAATACACTTGACACACAATAAGGTGGTATTCGAGATAGTTTTAAATTAATTAATAAAGTACAGACTAACTTGCACACACAGCGACGTACACACTAACTAGCACACACACACACCTACAAACACACACACAAACAAAAAAAAAAAAAAAAGACAAAAGTAAACAAAAAATAAAGAAAGCACGCGACGATGATGCCTAATAAATAATATAAATCTTACATAAATAAAAAAACAAAAAAAAAAAAAAAAAAAAAAAAAAACATTACACAAAAAAAACAAAAAGTGTTCAAAAGAAACAGCACTCGTCAAGTCTCCAAAAAAACAAAGATAAGAAAGAGAAATAGAATAAGATTAAAAAAAAGTAATGATAAAAAAGAAAATAACAAATAAAAAAAAAACAACTTTTTAACACGAGAAAACCGTAATGTTATGGCAAAACATTACACCTGTGGTTGTATTTGGACCACTAGTGAACAAAGATATTTGAACTTACTGGTGCAGCTGAACAACAATATTTAGTCTGGGTAATCCTATCTTCTAAAGAATAAGAGAAAAAATAGGTAAATAAATGATGAAAAAAAAAACAAAATGCAAACACATCAAGACACACAACACAACCACCACACACAGACCACACACACACACCAAAAAACACACCAAAAGAGGAAAGAAAAAAAAAAAAAAAAAAAAAAAAAAAAAAAACACAACACACACACACCAACAACAACAGCGATAAAAAATTGTGAAGGAAGAGGGAACTTGCACATAAAAAATAAACAAGTAGTGAAGACCCTCAGTCGTTGAGGGAATATTGTGAGGCTAGGTGACGATTGCATCCGCCATAAATAACACAGTATGAAAAAAAAAATCCACCGGCCAGGTGAGCGCGTGGGCCAGCCGAATCAACACGGAGACGAAGGGCGAGAGCAAAATTAAACAGGAGTAAATCACCAACAGCCGTGCAATAGCTTCGAGTCAAAGTGGTGTAAGTGAGTGGTGTAAGTAGAAGGGCATTGATTGCAGGATTAAATTCATTGTCCTTTCTGACTTGACATTCAGAATTAGACAGCGGTGGAACATGCACTAATGACGGAGGCAAACAACATGATGACGCAATTCATCTTGTTGATTTATTCTATTCTATTCTATTCTATTCTACCCCACGACGTTGGTGCTTTGGGGCAGCCTTAGTTGGGGCAAACCTTTGGGCTTTGCCTACACAACCCCAGGATCTGGAAACCCGCAAATAAGGTGTCAGAACTATTCTGAAATAATACTCCATGAAAACACTTGTCGAGTTAGAGCCGGGTGTCAATTTCTTTCTTTTACTTGCGTTATGTTTGAGCTAGCTATTAATAGTCTACTGGAGGCCCGCGATGCACAGAGAACATCGCGATTGGTTGTTCGGAACGTTTTCTGTGAATTTTGTGGAGGTACATGCCAATGGGCTTGAACGTTCTACGAATATGTGAATCTTGCGGAGGTACATGTCATTGGGCTTGATAACGAGCATACGACTGTATCCATCCTGGTAATCGTTGCCCTTCGGTTGGGCTGTGTCAGCTGCAGAGGTCCCGCATCAGCGGATGACATGAGCTGCGTTGATGGATGTTGGAACGATTCCATCGTGTGCTCTCTGCAACACCACAAGCCTGCCTGGTTGGATGTCATCGATTTCTTCAATCTCTTCCGCTGCCTGGTGCAGCCGAATGGCTTCTTCCTCCACACCAACTAGCTTGACTGCAGCTCCGCCGACATGCGTGCTCTAAGGCAACGCGGCTTAGGATAAGGCTACCAATGAATCGAACCAGAGAATTGGAAACTCGGGTGGTTCGTTTCCGCTCTCCCATGGTGAAACTTTTCGACCTCGCTGATGAATCTCAGTGAGCTCACCCGTAAAAATCGAACGAAACGTAAGACTTGCGCTTACCGAGTACCAAGGAACCCTGCTAGGGAGATCTCGGACGGTGATGAATTATTGTTGCCCATGGTGGCCGGTACTTAAGAAAAACATAAGTTAGTTCTTTAGGTTGCCTAAAAAGCTGTTTGTGGGCGGAAATTATGACAAAAAGCTTTGATGGCTCTCCCCTTGGAGGCCATCTGGGCAATGCCGTCAAGTACATGTAGCTCATCAACTGCGCAAAGCGCAAAGCGGGCTTTGGCCATCATGCCCCCAATCACAAGATGGTCGGGGTCGGGGTCTGCAGAGAAAAACGAAAATGGTGCCATGAAGACACCTAAGGCCTCTTCTTGCAGAAAGAGAATAAGTTGGGTCTTCCGTTGATTAATAAAAAACATGGCTCCCGCGTTTCCCACCAATAACTCGTTTATCGCTTGCTTACTTACTTGTCTATCGGTACAATAACCGTTGGAGAAGGGAATCACGACTGGTCAGTGGGGGAGATTTACCTGGATTTTTAAGCCTGCTTAAACGATTTAGAGGCCAGTTTACTTCAAGAACATCAGTGGATCGTTAGATCGTTTGTGACTGTCATAAGATTTATTAATTAAAGCAGAAGTGTTTCAGAAAAAGACAACCTAGCTAAAGGTAGTCACCAAGAGATTTAATATGCAGCCCATGCGGGTTGATTGAGTCGTTGAGTCCCGCATAACATTTCTTGTTGTCGTCAGTTAAGTTAGTTGTCAGGCGGCGCCGTCATGATCAAGCCGACCCTAACCGCAACGCCACACGACAACGACATGTTGAAACGTGTCAGAATCAAGTCAGAACCGAGGATGCCGGACCGGGGCTATTGTAGATCATAAAATATATTCATGTCTATGTACAGTTTAACATCATGTCGGGTGTGATTTGATTGGCTCAGAAGGTTCCGAATCAATCGTACTGTGTTTCGATAGTAAAACATGTCGGAAACCCCAACTTCAACCCGACATTTCGCTGAGATGTCGGACGAGCTTGCCGGCACACGACATCTTTTCCCTTAAATATCATGAGCTGGAAGCTTTTTTGGTACGTTGAGTCATGGAAGAATGCCGGCATCCTCCATTTTGCAACATGTCCTTGTCGTGTGGCGTTGCGGGTTAGGGTCGGCTTCAGGCCACAACGCTGTCTCCGTACCGGCTGTACCGTACCACGTAATGACGTGATTTCTTTGCTACCGGAAAATGTTACGAGCTGTACTAGTAGTATATATACGGTATGTCCTAGACGGTCCGATCGGTTTTTCCGCTCAGTGCTGTAAAAAAACTGTCATGACTGGTTCTCATTTAAGGATGTTTAAGGGAATGTTATATGAGCATGTTTAACGGGCATGTTTCGATTTAAAGGCATTTTAATTTAAGGCATGTTCATCGTGATAAGGGCAATGTTCTATGGTAGTTTCCATGACAGGCTAAAGGGCATGTTTACGAGGCATAGGCATTTTTAAGGGCATGTTTTTTAAGGGCATGTTTAGGGGCATGTTTAAGGGCATTTTTTAAGGGCATGTTTAAGATTTAAGGGCATGTTTTTAAACGGTTCTCAGTCGTGGGAAGTTTGAGTTTTTTAAATCCTGAGCGAAAAACGTCGGACGGTCCAGTGGCGACGCAGGAGATATGAGATATACTGTACGTCATTAGGTCTTCCGGTCCTCGACAGGTGTATTAGAAAAAAATGAAATGTAGTGGTCTATTTCTCAGTCTTTGTGTCCCTATCGGAACGAAAAATAATATAATCTTCCATCTGTGACCCTGTGGATAATCGGAGTCGTAAGAACCGATGTCTCCTTAATCCTTATTGATGCTCTCCTATTTAACAGGATTTCGCCTCTAAAAATAGACAACGAAACGGATGTCATCTATACAATCTTTGTAGCTAACACTCACTATAAATCTACTCTAATTTTTCAAACGAGATGTCTACCTATTCTTCGAACGGATACATTACCTAAGTGATCCATGTGATAACATTATGACGTATTCGTCTCCTAAAGCTTTCGGATCGTCTCCTATTTCGAAACGATCTTCGTCTCCTAAATGGAATGTCTCCTAATGAATCGTCTCCTAAATATAGGAGACGATTGCTTTCGTCTCTTAAATCATTTCGATCGTCTCTTAAGCCTTGGTGTATCGTCTCTTAAGTAATTTGCCACGAATGACGTTTCCACAGAGGTCCTGGTCCTCTCTTCATAGCATGCGGAGATTTCTGCTTGCCCGATCTTCTCTCTTTGGCCAACACCAATGGCAAGTGCACGGACACCATGGCAATTGGTCAGCCAAAAAGAAATAGGATCATGCAAGCCCGAACGCTCGAACTAGAGCTACTAGAGTTGCGAGCAGAGACCTTGACGCCGTCAATTGCCCGGCTTGATGAAACGAGAGCATCAAAAGCCCACGAGATCTCGAGGAGCTTCCAGCGACTGAAAGGTAGCCTACAATGGCTTCTATAGGGATCATCAGCTTTTTTGTGGGTGGTGTCGGCATGACAGAAGAGCCGGCCAAAACCCCAGTCTAACGATGAAGAATGGCGACGACATTGAAGTCCTGTACTAGTATCTACTTCTCTTCTACAGCTGTTGGGACTAATCTTCTTCGAATTTCATTGATTGACTGAAGCGAATCTGCTCGCTGGGAGGGTTCTGTTATGCCAGTGCAGGAACAATGGATGAGGATGTAAGAAAGTAAGTGTGCGTGATGACTGGATATCGTGTGATGAAAGCATTGGTGGACAAGTTAGATTGTTGCCTATGGATTTGAATCCTCCGCCTTTCTCTTTTTGTCACCACCTGGCAGTCCTAATTTCGTGGCAATGATACGATGAGCTTCCCTGAATTCACTCTCGTCTTGACATTCGCAGCTGTTTTCTTTAACAGCATTGGTTTCCTTGTCCACAAAGTAATCCATGGCCGCTTGGATCGTCGGAGTCAGTTCCGTCACATCTTGTTCGCTCAGTTCCTTCACGCCCGCCCCCAGCAAGTAGGCCATTGCGGCGGTTCTGTGACTCCAACCCTGACCTTCTTGTGGAAAGGCTCGTTGCATCCTGTTGAGTCATGAGTATCCGGGACTGAAATTCGAAATCGACTGGACCACCAAAAGCGATTCCTCACTTTTCTAAAAAGAAAAGGCTGTTTACACAGTTACTACTACTACATACGAGCCTTCAGGTACTCTTGAGGAGTGAAGGGACGGTGCTCTAGGAGCTCCAAACGATCAAGAGAGAAGTAGACGACCGTGACGTGAAAGCACCGGCTAGCGACTTGTCGTGCCGTTCGTGCTGTTCCAACAGTCTACAGGACAAGCCAAGGGTATCATTCCGACTGCAGGAGTGTACTCAATACGGCTACCCTCTTGAATAACAACAAAAGCCGCTATTGTAGGCGAAAACGACCGGTGAAAGCGCCATTGTCTCTTCTTTCGTTTTCGATCGAAGAAACTCGCTGACACCTGGTGAGTCCAGTGAGTCAAATTGACTCATTTGACTCGAATCGGAATTCCGATTCGGAAACGGGAATCAGTGACGTTTTTTGCTGACGTCATCCCGTGACATCATTCCGTGACATCATCACGTGACGTCATCGTGTGACGTCATCGTGTGACGTTTTTTGCTGACGTCATCAGTGTCACATCAGACGTCCGAGTGACGTCATCAGTGTCACATCAGACGTCCGAGTGACGTCATAGTGACGCGTATACCCTATAGGTGCGCATCGACGCGCTGGACTCACATCGAAGAACGATAACTTCGTTTGAGCTACGGTTGGAGATCTACGGCATCTTTTGTCCGCAAGTTTCCAACACAAGTCGTCCATCATGAGCAAGACCAGAGGCAACGGCTCTGGCAGGAGTGGGTCGACGAAGAAGAAGAACAACAATAGCAACAGCAACACGAGGCGGACGACGACAGTGGAGTACAAGTATGCACCCAACTCGTCCGGAAGGCAACAGTATGCGTCCTCCAAGCTGATCAGAGAGAAACTGAAACACGAGTGTGCGGAATACGAATACCCGCAAGACATTCAGTACGAGATTACAGAGTTGAAGACGATTCAACTTGACGAGCCAGAGTTGAAGTACTCGAGGAGAAGAATGCGGAGAAGAAGGAACTTCAGAACAATGCATACGCGAAGAACTACGACTCCGAGATGAAAGAATGGAGGGCTAGAGTGCGCAAGATTGGTTTCAACCGAACCAGAATGGTGACACTCATTCAGACGAAGTACTGCACACTAGGAATGGTTGACAAACTCAAGTCGGAAGAAGATTTCGAGTCGAAGTTGGACAAGGATCCCGTCGCGTTGCTCCTACGATTGGAGAAGCTGAGCCACGATCCGACTGGTGCAACCTATGCATTCGCTACTTTGACAAAAGCGATATTCAATCTGGTGGCGATCAAGCAGGAAGAACACGAATCAGCCGATACTTTTGGTTACCGCGTTCAAGATACCTTCAACACATTGGCGAAATACCTTGGGCCGCATTGGCTCAACCAATTCATGGATACGCTCCCTGGATTCGACCCTGAGAAGAACTGGACCAGCGAGCAGAAAACAGCGTGGCGCAAG